GCGGGTGGTTGCTCTCGCGGTGAACGTATTGCAGTGGAATGTTCGGCTTTGTAAATGGCTGATAAGTACTTCGGTTAACTCAAATGTAACGTTAAATGTAACGTCAAATGTAACGTCTAGGAAGTTGATTATTTTTCGGCAGCTTCTATGGTGATGCGTAGACCGTAATTCTTAAAGGTGCGACATATTTATTTTTTCATGTTCTCTGAATCTCTAGATGTGGCGTTAGTGATAGCTAGTCCGTCGTCTCGGTAAAGTCCTACGTACGTTTAATCTAAGATCCTGGAGTTGGGAGAGCAGAAAGCTTCCCACGAGTTCACAAGTTTCAGCGCCGTCGTAGCTTCCCATTGTTACGTCAAATGTGGTGTTGCCTTTCTTTTGCTAGGGTAGGTGCTTATGGATTAGGACGGAGTTTTTAGCGTGGATTATAATGTTTCTTTCGTCGGTGGTGATGCTGTCATAGCCGGAATTATATGATACAGGTATACTGCTTAAGCAGTTTAAGGGAAGCGTTGACAAGTATAGAGCGGTTTTACAGAAGAATTGCCTTTCTACAACCACAACACTAAATACTTGATAAAAAAACACAATAATGTTGTTGAGAAGAACTGTATGTCAGGTGAAAGTCTTTACCTCGTCTACCACGTGAATGTTTTCATGTGAATGTTACAGAGCCTATAACAAAATATGTTTGAAAGTCTCGGTGTTGTAAGTGTAATGTTGCAGCGTATAACCATCAAGTTCTGGATGTAACCATTTCCTAACTCTCGTAAGGGAAGTGGTCATGCACGGTGATGTAACAGATGCCAAGCAAAATTTCTCCGAAACAAAAACGCCCAACTGAGCAACGAAGTTATTTCAACCTACTGATATTCATAATGGGTAATAAATAGGAACCTACCGTAACCTCTATCTTCCATAGGTATGTCTTCGTCGACCTCATTCTCATTGCTCCGCCGTCGACCGCGCAACCAGACAATCACAATTCCGCCGACAACAACTACAAACACTATGAACAACACTATAAATACTACAATAACAATCACGGTTTTATCCTCTGGTTCCAATTCAGTCATTTTGCGGGTTGTAAATTGAGTAAAACCCTCATTTTGATAATCATCAGGGCCGCTAAGGGAACGTTGAAAAACAGCGTACTCTGTGTCGTCGTCAAGCTTCCCATTAAGATATTCAGTGAATCCTGAAAAAGAAAAACGAAAATAAAATAGCAATAAAATAATCATAAAATAATAATAATAATAATAAAATGATAAAGTATGGCCAAGCTTGAGGATACGACAAACAACGCCTCCAAGTAGGAAAAAAAAGGAAAAAGACAGTCGTAGATTAGTCACCTGTCATTAATTTAACTCCTTCTCTAAGGATTTAAACATACGAGGTTGATCTTGTAGTCAACTCCTGATCTATTGTCAGAACCAGGAGGGAGTGTGAGAGGGGTCCAGAGCCCCACTTCCACCACAAAATCTTAAATATCTCCGCCACCCCCCCACCCCCCGAAAACTCATAAATATCTATGGGTTTTTCTATGCCTGCGCATAATACTACTCAACCGGATGATTTTCAGATACAACAGTGGGTGAAAGGTGGGGGGTGGGGAGAAAGAAGAAGTTTGAGTTGGTGGATCCCCGATCGTTGTTTCCTAGAAAATGGAGGTACGTGAGCATTCAAAGACCGTGCGGTTTTCTGTCTCTTCCCATTTGATTCAAGGTTTTTTCTCCATATAATTATCTGGATTGTTTCAATCGCCCAAATAGTCTCGGAAAAGTTTCGTAAGGGTGAAGAGTATTTCATGACAACCACTGTGATTACTCCCACGGTCCAAGTTATTATTTTGTCACTACAGTGTTCGTCCAGAACGCCACATTTTTTTTTTCTCTTGAGGAAACTGGGACAATCCATCCTCAGTATCGCATGGAATAAAGGCTTACACTAGTGTAACTTAAAGGGCGTATAGTTACCTTACAATAAGTATTTTGCCCACCTCGATTTCAATAGTTTTATTCATTACAGACTGATGCAACCCTACAGGAAGTTAAGGAAATACGAAACTTAAATCTGTATTAAGTATAACTTGTAATTCAGCTCCATTGGGAAATAATTTATAATTACAGTACAAAGCGTCGAATTTACTCACCCGCTCTGCGCTTTCTTCTCGCTTCAATATGATATTTTCTCGAGTAGTACTTTCCATCTCCAACAGGAAAAGTTGTTCTTCGTTCGTTATTGTTGGAAAATTCAGCCGTAATGTAGGGTTCCCCCGCCACCCTATCTTCATATTTTCTGATTACTCTAACATAGTTCTCGTCTGATGATTTGCCAGGCCCTTCTCCTTTTCTTAGTTGTACCACAATGACTTGGTAGTACCTGAAATAGATAGAAAAAATGGTATTTATAAACAATGAGAAAAAAAAAAGAAGTTGAGAGGCAGTGTCTTAAAAGTTATGTCGGCATCCCATGGAAGATATCAAAAATAAAACCTGGCTTTTACCAACCTGAATACAACGCAGATAAAAGTTCGGAATGACCTTAACATTACGTGCAGTATTACTTGAAAATATCACGACTCGAAAGAAAGAGCAAATTTTAATAACGAGACTAAAACTCCTACCTTGTGCCCATTTTCATATCAGAATTAGTATGATATGTTGAATTAAATTTATATTGGGAATTTTGAGGCGTATCAAGATGCAACTCGTAGAGGCAAGAAAGCTGAGTTGTTAGAACGAAAGAGTTGTATCCTGGTGCTAGGAAAACGACAACAAAAGAACCGATGTAGGAAATAATCAATTCTAACCTGACTTCTTTTCCACTACTTAAAATTTGCAAGGGCTTGAAGGCAACAGAAACTTCACTTGTCCCGATGTCGTTAGGAATAGGAGGAATGGGTGGGTCTACAACAAAAAGAAAAACAGATTAACGCAATTTCAACAAATATATTTAGAAATTAAATAAAATTGAAATTTATCAAAAATTAAATAAAGGACGAAATAAACGAAGATGGAGAAGAAGCTAGAGTCGCACTCGGACATCGCCATAAGTGATTCTTAAGCTTATTTTCTGCTTAGCAGCCTCCCACGTGTATCCATTACTCGAAGTTTTAATTTTAGTCATTTAGTTTGTTTTTTCTTACCTTTCGTTGTAGCAGACTTGGGTTCACTTTGCGGACCTTCACCCTTGATAGTTGCAGCCGAAATTTTAAACGAGTAATTAGTCGATGCTCTGAGCCCATTTATTACCACCTTTGACAACGAATTTGGTTTTTCTCTGTACCTTTCCTCCTTGTCGTGCGAATAACGAATGACATACTCAGTAAGAATGCCATTTAAATCACGCCCAAGAACGGGTTCCCATGTCAATTCTATACTAGTACTGTTTTTTGGTTCTGCGCTCATCAACTTGGGTGCCGCGGAAGGTACTGAAAGGCATATAATAAACTTTAAGAAGTTATACTTGTAATAAAATACGAGTGATGTACTTCAAGTCATTACCAGGTCGGTAACTGTATGTAACACAATACGCCAAAATTACAACAGCGAAACACTTGCGCAATTGTCTTTGTCACCTGATATTTTGTAGCAAACACACGCTACGATTTCAAGAACATGAGCCAATGGAGACAAGTACTTGCATATGCAGAAGTTGTCTTCACAGACTATCATAACGTTATAACCTGGTAGTCAACCCACTTGAGAAGGGACAGAAAGGATAACAAACGGCAACAAAATATCGTGCAGGGCACTTAGAATTAAGGAAAACAGACGTAACCCAATAACTCTTTATGTTTTAAGCTATTTGTCGACGGAAATTTATTTGAAAAGATAATGAAAGGAAACTTACCATCTTGATCTGTCTTCGTTTCTATAATGTCACTCTTCACACTGACATCCTTGTTGTTGAAGGCCTGTATGGCAAACTCGTATGATGTGAATTTTTTTAGAGACGTCACTACTTTAGACGTGGTTTCCTTTCTGTTGACAGTTCTGTTCTTCCAAGGTAACTGCGGATCGTTCTTTCTCTTGTATAAAATGTAATATCCCTGGATTTCACCTCTGGCATCTTGTTTACTGAGCATCTAAATTGCAATGATAATAATACTAGCTCTAGTACCATTTTATGAAGGAGATGAGTAGATTAAAGTAAATCAGCAAAGATACCAGATTAGTACTTAGTTAGAGTTCACTTGCAATTTTGACCCACAGTACATGTTATAATTTGTTTACTAAACCACGCTCCCAAACTCCATTCAGTTTTCTTTCGCTCCAAGCCACGATTGGTAATTCTGTGGTAATTATTGATTTTTACCACAGTTGGCAGTATTGTCGCAATCTAATTGGCCAATTTGCCGTCCTGGATAGGAGCACAGACAACGCTGTTCACGTCAACTTATCGCGCACTGAAAGAATCGTTCAATTAGACGTCGATATTGTGTGAAAAAAATCGGTTTTAGCGTTGGCTTTATCCAAGTGTCAGCCAACACAGCTAGCCAAATAAAAACAAGTTGAACTGGGTCCTAACATAGTTAATTAATTAAGAAGTATATAATACGAGGTTAGTGGAATAGGGAGCTCTTATGAATGCTATGTACAGAAAAAAAGTGGCTTTAATACCTTCCAAGAAACATTAACAGCAGTAGAGCTGACGACCGTCACATTAAAAGGTGGTGCAGAACTAGGCACTGAAAGCAAACAATAGCACATTTTTTTCCCGTAAGTTACGAGAAACATATATACATATATACAAAAGTTAAAAAATTAAAGAGGACGCATCAACTCTCTGTAACTCTGAGTTTCGCGCCTAAGCGCTCATCAGACAGTCCCTTTAATTCTTTAACTCTTTAATTCTTCACGGCATTTAGCACTTTATGCCAAGGTAGACTCTACCCCGACATTTATATATATATATATATATATATATCTATTTAATAAACACAGCTGAAAATCCAACGATGTAGTCACAAGCTACTAGGATCCAAAGAATACACAACGCTTTTGCTACAAATCTCAAGTAATTAGAGTATACAAATAGCGACAGCGAACTACTAACTGAACCATTGAAATGAAAAAAGGATATTGTGCCGTGTGTGGGAATCGAACCCGCGTCCCTCTGGTTAACAGTCGGGTGTGCTAACCACTACACCATCACGACAGAGCAATTAATGAGGTAATTGGTTAGCCACGAGGTTCCCTGGCGTTTTAACATTCAGGAACAGGAAGTACATCGGATGATCCGAAGATGATTCATAGGCTACCAGCATAATTATTAGAGGGATCAAACTTGGTGTCCGTGAGACAGTGCTCGATGCAAATAGTAGAGCGGGTATAATGTGTGGTAGGCAGAAAAAAACAACTACATATACATCCCTGATGAGTGGGCAACTACGAAACAGGTCTGTAGGGATGTATATGTAATTGTCTTTTTTCTGCCTACCTCACATTATATATATGTATATATATATATATTACAGTGGTATATTGTTTTTGATACAAAGCACAGTGGTGAAAAAGCGATATATTTACAGTTAATAAAGACATTAATAAAGACATTAGGGAACACCAAATGGTGGGTTAAAAAAATAAAAGAACGAAACATTACCAAAAAACAAACAAACAAACAAGCAAAACAAATAATACAAAACAAATATAAGACAAGATATAAGAGCTCAGCACTTAACTTGATCAACTTATCAGTTCTTGAGATACCGCTGCCAGGAGAATACATGTATAAATTAAAATTTCTCAAATGAAAAGGAAATCAAAATAAAAAAAGAGCACCTTCTTCATCGGTGGTAACATTTATAATGAGGCTGCGGTTACTAGAACCAATTATGTTCCTGGCAAAAACCCTGAGGTAATATATTGTCCAGGGAAACAGCTCTTTAATAGAAACTCTTGTGGTGTGAATCACACAAGCATTGACTGAGAGTGTTCCTTGACATATGGCATCTCTGAATTTCTGCCCATCTTCACTGATTTCCACTGTGTAGTTCTGGATGGCACTGTTTCCATTAAAACCATTTATCCAAGAGATATTAACTGATCGTGATCCTCTTAAGATGACTTTGAAATCCTTTGGTGGGTCTGGTACATCTGCAAGAAAAACAAAAACAAATAAAAAAAGAACAAGAAATTCTTAATGATTGCTACTTGTTTTCAAACCTGCCTTTGAGAATGCTGGTGAAGTAAAGTGGTACGACTTTAAACATAAAGCTAGTGCCATCATCAAATGTTTTGTGGCAATGTTTGCTCTGATATCATACAACGGCATACAACTGATTCACACAACAAAGGTATCAAAATATGATACTGCATGTCAAGGCAATACAGGGCTTGTGGGTAATATCTCAAAACACTTAAGAATATGACTTACATTGTACTGTGAGGTTAGCTGCTGATGAGGATGATCTACTCACGCTGTTATTGGCCACACACATGTATTTCCCTGAATCTGAGAAGTGAACCTCTGCAATTTCTAAACTGTGATTATTTTTCTTAGAGGACAATTTCAATCGACTGTCTGCTGTTACATCCAGTTCTTTTCCGTTCTTTTTCCAAACAACACTGGGTGTAGGGTTCCCCACCACTGAGCAACGAAAAATTACATTTTCTCCTTTTAAAATAGTGATATTCCTCGGATGTTTGGAGATTTCAGGTGCAACTGAAAAAAACATACGTAATAATTATTAGAAAACTAAATCTACAATAAAATCATGTTCAGGCGGTTTTGCGAATCTTGCGTTCACGTTACCATGCAAAAAAGTAGGTAGATTTTGCAAATTATTTCCAAACAAAATTGTATGAGTAGGTGCATCAAATCGTGAAACTTTGGTAAATTTCAAAGTTATGAGAATTATCAAACAGAAGCATATTCTATGTTTTCCTTGACGTGAAATAAAAATATAATCATCCACTTACAAGCCTAAAGAATCTACTCATGTGTCCATAACTACATAGTACTACGGTTACAAAGCTTCTATTACTTTTCTCGGTATTCTTTCTCACATCAAACTTTGTCAACTTGTCGCCGTTTTTCCTTTTCTCTGAAATTTGTCGAGTAAAACGTCTAGTGATCATCTGCAGGAGTAATGTTTGCTGCTTGACGTAATTCCTCATCTCAACAGATGAATTAAATCAAAACAGTTAGAACCCGTGAAATCGTCTCTAGTAGTCACATTAAAAACTGACAACCTTATAATAGTTTATCTAAAATGGGTAACTTAAAAGCGACTGTTTAGCCAACTAATAAAGATAAGGACGCGGAACTCGTACACCTTTTTGACCAAAACAGTACGGACTTTTTCATGAACTGTCGTGCCCTGGTTCTTAGTCCAAATAATTGGTTTTGTCCTAAACGCTCCACGGCACTTTCACTGGACATTTACGACTGCTGCACTAGAAGTATCATTTCCAAGGCTGTTATTGGCCACACAACGGTATGCTCCGCTGTCTACTCGCTTGGCATTGGTAATGGTCAACTGATTTTTGCCTTCTGAAAAGCTGATCCTGGGGTTGTTACTTATGTTAGACCCATCTTTTGTCCATGATAGGGTAGGGAGCGGATTTCCAGTGGCATTACAGTACAACGTAACGTTTTCTCCTTCTCTTTTCGTCACATTATTAGGATGAGTGGTGATATGACTTTCATCTACAATTAAAAAACAAATGTCCTTTTTTGTGTCACTGGCAACCACATAGCAAGGAACATTAGCAAATAATTTACAAACTGTATTGATCTTTGTATGCGATCAACGCCTACGCTTCCCTATATTCGAAAGATTGAGGGTTGCTCCTGTTTACAACATAGGATATCGGTAAAGCAATAACAAAATCTAGACCGAAAAGACAGTTTTTCCAGAATTTATAAAATGGGTAGCTTCGAAAGCGACTGTTTAGCCAACTAATAAAGATAAGGACGCGAGACTCGTACACCTTTTTGACCAAAACATTATATTACGGACTTTTTCATGGGCTGTCCCGCCCTAGTTGATAGTCCAAATAATTAGTTTTCTCATGAACGCTCCACGGTACTTACACTGGACATTTACAACGGCAGCATCAGACGTATTACTTCCAAGACTGTTACTCGCCACACAACGGTATGCTCCGCTGTCTACTCGTTCGGCCTTGGTAATGGTCAACTGATTTTTGTCTTCTGAAAAGCTGATCCTGGGGTTGTTACTTATTTCAGACCCATCTTTTGTCCAT